CGGGGGGGGGGGGGGCGGGGCCCGCTCTGTTGACAGGGCCTGCCCCTCATCCAGGGCTTGTCACCTCCCGTCGTGAGTCGGGGTCGCCGGGGCCGAGGACGCAGGCTGCCTGTGCGCCTACGAGAAGCGTTCGGGGACGTTTCTGCCGTCGGTGGGAGCTCCAGGCAGGGCGCTGAGGGGCTGCTGCGGCGCCTCCCCAAGTCATCCCCGAACTCCGGGGTCTCCGGCAGGCCTTCGGCCCCGCTTTTGCGCGTTAGTCGTGGTTGTTTCTCGCCTGGATTTGTATGGAATTGGCTGGGATGAGAACGTTAACGTTCTTCGGAAATTCGGCGGGGAGTATGTAAATAATTATAGAAGATCGGTCGTTCAGATCCATGGTTTTTATGTGTGGCTGAGCAGCCTGAGATTGCCTGGGCAAATTTTGCCTTCCCGCTGGGAACGTGGGCTCCGGCAGCTGCAGAGGTGGTTGTTGCTGAAGGCTGTGCTTCAGCCCCGTCTGCCGGGCTGCGGCTCGGGGCCGGCCTTGGGAGCCAAGGGCCGGAGGCTGTGCCGGGGCCGGGCCGGGGCTCCCTCGGTCAGTGGCTGCATTGCGGGTTTTCTTGTTCGTGCTGCTGCCCAGGCTGGATGGTCCTGGGGAGGTAGAACAGGTACTTTCCTGAGGCAGTCTGCTGCTGCTCCCGCCCCTGTAAAGGTTGTACATGAGATGCTGTATTTTTCCGTCACTGGAACTGCTTCTTGGCAGAGATAAATTTGTATTTTCATGTGAAAAGCAGAATTAATTGCAATAAAGAGTGCATGTGTATTAGCTTTGGTGATTATGGGAGTGTGTCTCATATGCTCATAGAGTATGTCTGGAGTTGCACAGAGGGCCAGAATGTTATTTTTCAGTCAGTTCTAGTAAGGAGTAAGCTCTGAAGTTGTGCAAGTAAATTTATGCTTAAGATTTATGTGGCCTGTCAATGTGGTAGTTGGGGACTACTAAGATGTGCTTTCCGTTGTCTTCCCTAGCTGGCTAATGCTCAGAATGAAATGCAGAGTGACTGTAACATCTTAATTATTTTTTTTTCTTCATAGATATTGGTATTAACCTGACAGATCCTATGTTCAGAGGAATCTACAGAGGGACACAAAAACATCAAGGTAAATGTTTCTTTGTATCTGCTGAAAGACAGAATCCTTCTTGTTAAAATAGAAGCCTCTTGTCAGAAAGTGAGGTTAGATTTTTTTTTTCTCCTCAGAAGCTGGATGCTTATTATGTACTATGGCTTGAAGAAGAATGTGACAAAATAGATTAGATGTTCTAAGCAAAATATATTCCCTTCTACTGAATTGCTATTAAGTTGTCATACAGGTAACTCTGCTTCTAGAGCAAAATAGAAAGTTGCTGATGGATTTATGTTAGGATTGCATGGAAGAAACTGGTCTGAGAACTATGAAAAATAAACTGTAAAAGTATCGCATTGCTGAATCGTAGTTACTAATTATAACTGATGCTTTTTTGCTCTTGCGGCCTTTAGAAATAGATGTAAAAATAGAGAGTCTACTAAAGTGCGTGAAAAACTTCCATTGACTTCTTGTCTTTAAATTGGATGTTCAGTTACTGCATTTTGTTATTGTCTTCTAAAGATTAATCAAGTGTGGTTTAAAGATTGTTCATGATAGGCATTTTGACTGCATGAAAGTGTTTTTTAGTTGAAAGGTAGTTAAATTATGCTGTAAAACCTGAAGTTCATTTTATGATATTTTTATGAACTTTCACAGATGACTTTTTGGATGTGGTAGAGAGAGCAGTCAAAATTGGTGTTAAAAAGGTAATTTCTTCTAATAAGATTTCTTTAATATTTTTAACTGCTTTCTAATACTTTGCTTTTTAGTAGTCAGTATTAAAACAAAAGTTTCTGGAACTTGCAATGGAAAATGCAGTACCTTCAACAGCATAAAGCAAAAGTGTTCTGTGCAGAGCATTGTCTTTCATTTGCACAGATCATTAGATGCTGATTATTTATGTTCAGTGGTATCATATGTGATATGTATGTAGAATTTCTTTTGTACAGTTTCAACAGAAAGATGTTCTCCTCTGACCTACTGCAGTCAACTAGTATGTAATTTTCCATGTTAGTTGTATTATAGGCAGTCACTCCTGTCTTCTTGCATCCCGACTGACTCACACAGTTACTGCTATAGATCAGAACTCAAAAACTCTTCTGATAGCGATCCTTCAGATATTTCTATATCTAAAGGAGATTGGTAATTGCAGAAGAGCTGGGAATGCCCCTAAATTCTTACAGTTAAGACATCTGAATGTCTGCTAGTAAATACTGGCTTACGTGTATTAAAACTGCATCATTATGAGCAGGTTTGTAACTCTTAGCTTGAAATCAGTGTTTCCAGCAGTGGACAACGCTTCTTTAGTTATAATAGTTCAGCCTACCTATATCTCTCTCTGTAAACAGAATAAATTGTCAAGACAAAAAGTACAAATTAAAAGTGAATACAATGGACACTGTCACAAACTGTTCTACTGCACTAATATGGCTGGTGGATTAGAAATAAAGAAATTATCCCTCCTCTATAAGAGGAACAGCCATCTCAGAAGTTTGCTGAAAGGCTCTCATCTGAAAAGAGTGGGAAATAAGCTGGGAGACAAAAAAATATCTGTAGTGATGGAGAATTTACCATACTGCAGCGAATACAGAATCATAGTCACTTTTACTACATTTATATGTGCCATATGAGTACTATTTAATGTTTATAGCACTCTCTGAAAGTAAGTGGCAATTATCCTATTTTATCATCAAAATATTTTGGATGCGTAACTTTTTTAAAATGCACAGTGGATTCAGAAATTGAATTCAGGAGTTCCCTGTCCTTAGCTGTGTTTTCAGTCTTGCTACTGGCCTGTACCATGTCAGAAGTCTATTCCATCCCAGATTGCTTCTACTTAGTTAGAAGCTTAATCTATTTATTTGAAAATACGTCTCGTTTTCCATATAGCTGATTTATGGATTTATTTTTTTTATGGAGTTTTGCCTTGTGCTGTATGTACACTGAGCCAGTTTCATCTTAACTTTTATTTTTCTGGTGATATTGTTGGGATGTGTCTGCCTCTAATGGAGCATACTGCAGAAATGTCTGACTTGGTGCTGACTGAGTCTCTTATATAGCACGTGTAGGGGTAAGAGTTGTCCAAAACCAGCGTATTCATGATTTTTTAGGACCTAGGGTGCAATATCCTACAAGTGGTTGTTCGAAAGTCACTGTAAGCAACAATTCTGGCATGATAACCTTTGATCTTAAGGTAAAAATAAAAGATTGGAGCCCGAAATTCTTAAATTTGTAATCCCAACTCTGATACAGATGCTTTTGTTGGTTTATCTGTTTACATACTCATGTCTTGTTAGAGGTGTTTGAGAGTTTTTAGTTTCTCCACCTGCAAGACGGGGATAATGTTTCTGAATAAAATTTCTTAAATGCAAATAAAGTTTCTTGAGTCATTGTCTAGTGAAGTTAATATTGCTGCAAATAGAAGTATTTTTCTCATTTAGTGATTTAAATACTTAGCATAGAAGATATTTGATGAAGAAAAAAATCAGGTTTTGATACCTAGTATATTTACCAGTTCCTGGGGACCATCAAGGTTTGTTACTGATATATGAAATTTTGTCATATATACATTAGTAATTGTCTTCTGATATTCTCTGCTAGATTCTTACTTAGATCCGAGTGCTTTCTTAAACATTCTGTCTGATGTTCAAAGAAGAACATACTCGCTGACAGTACTTTTCTTCTTTCAAGTTTTTGATTACAGGTGGGAGTCTACAAGATAGTAAAGATGCATTGCAGCTGGCACAGACAAATGGTATTTTTACTTTATACTTTTGACTGACAACATAAGTTTAACCTTCTCTGCTCTCAGAATTAAGATTTCAAAAGAACCTACCCCTAGAGGTGTTTATAGAATTTTAGATTAAAATGAGAGATTATGTTTCAGAATGGGATGAATGCATTGTGTATGAGTTTCTGTATGTTGCTGTTTAGATCCCCAGGTTTTGGAAGGAATCAGTCTTCCCTGTAATTTCTATTTCTAGATGAAAATAGAAATTACAGGGAACTTTTGGAATAAAAATTTTGTTACAATGCGCTCTTCTAGAAATAAGATGGAATGCTTATATGGTATGTAATATGTGGGGGTTTTGTGGCGGGGGTTGGTTTGGTTTTTACCTGCTGATCTATCATGACCAGTTTGAACGAGGGAGGTATCTTTCTCCTTATGGTTGTCCTAGTTTTCCCTTACTTCCTGTGAAAAGGCAAATATAATTCCACTAATTACTTCAATATGTATTTGAACTAAAACACATGTTAAAGTACTATTTATGAACAGAACCATAGAATAATTTAGGTTGGAATGAACCTGAGAGGGTAATCTGGTCCAATCCAATCCACCGCCCCACCTCCATCAAAGCTTTAATATTAGGTCAAGTTGCTCAGGGCTTTATATAGTGTTTCCTTTGTCCCAGTGCTTTTACATTCTCTGTAAAGGCACTTACCAGAAATGTTAGTTTTGGCATTATGGTAATCTAGATTAGATACTTGGATAAATCAGGCTAGATGTTGCTTGCGAAATTCTGTAACATCTGATGTAGAGGCACACAGGGGAAATCGTATACTGTCTGCAAATCTTACAGCTGAGGGTAACCTGATGTGTTTTGAACAAGATGTATTTCTAGATGATCTTGAGAGGTTTCTTCCAACCTCATCAATTACATGATTTGTTGAGGGCCGCTCCACCAGAATAATTCAGCTTTGAGTTGCAGTTTTGGAGAATACTCAATAATGTGGTGGACTTGGCAGTGTTAGGTTTGTGGTTGGAGTTGATGATCTTAAATATCTTTTCCAATCTAAATGATTCTGTGATTCTATGTGTACTCAAAAGAAACACACACCCCCACTGGAGATACTGCCTAACATTGTTAAAGCAGAAAATATCAGTATCAGTAAAATCATCACAAGATAAAGATTTTCAAAGGGAGTTTTCTTTTAAAATTATGAACAATGAAAGAAGTCCAGATACAGATAACTGTCTATACCTTATATACATTTTGGGTTGTTTTTTTTTTTTTCTTAAAACCTTCTATTTTGTTTTAGACATGTTTTACAGTACAGTTGGCTGTCATCCTACGCGCTGTGGAGAATTTGAGCAGAGTAGCCCTGAACAGTATTTATCTGAATTAAAAAATCTGATTGAAAAAAATAAGGCAAAGGTACTAGCAGTTGGAGAATGTGGCTTAGGTAAGTGTTATCTTAGTACTTCAGTATTTTTTCCTAGACATATATTAAAAAATCCTAAAACACTAAGTGGGTTTTTTGTTCTTTCTATTTGTAGATTTTGATAGATTAGAATTTTGCCCAAAGGACATCCAACTCAAGTAAGAAACTTTTGATGACTATAAATTGACTCGTAGCAATTTACAGGAGTGTTTTCTATCTTGTGTTCTACCACATAAAATTTTTTCAGCTATAGACCTGCAATTTGCAGGATTTGGTCTAGTTTTATTTTTGGCGCAAATGGGACTTTAAAGAAAGATTGACTTAGCATGTCTTTTTCTGTTGAATTGATCAGAATTTGTGGGTTTCTGAGTGTGACAGATGTTCATTCTTGCTGATACTCAAGGACCCTTAGACACACACGGGGAGAATAACATAACTGTATTGTGTGAAAGAAGAACTGGGTTTTTGAGTGAAAAGCATGGGGAGGGGAACAGAACTGTCAAAAAGGGTAAGTCGCAGTGGAAAAAAAATTAACTTTTAAATATTGAATGGAAAAAAGCTAGCACAGCTCCTAGAATCACCATGCGTTCTTGTAGTGAGAACTTCTGTCTACAGTGGCAACTGAGTGAAAGATGTAAGTGATAAATTCAAATAAGATAAGTGATTGATGAATTGTGCTTTGTATATTACTGTTCTGAGTAAATTAGTCACTGGAGGGCACCGGTTAGTTGTGTTTTTTCTAATTGCCACATGTTAGCAATAGGTAGAGTTAATTTCTTCATAATGCTACAGTCATACAGTCAAATATTCATCAGAGTGGATGGAACTTTTTTCCCCAGAAGAATTCAGTGTACACAAAGTTTGGCAAAGCCCACCTTGGACCATAACCCGTTTCTTTTCTGTGGCAAAGTAAAGCACCGTTGGAGTGTCATATTTGAAGTTCCTTACTGCCTTTATGTTATTGGGAGAAAAAAAAATATATCTTGTAGTGAAAAACTTCTAATTGGGTGCACTGAAATTGAGTTGTGAGGAAAGAGGTAATCGAGTGGAACAGAAATCACTTTTAAAGTGGTAGGCAAGTCCTTTCTAATTAAGGTAGATATGACAGGAAGTCTTTATCTGAGCTGTTTCAGTAAATCATGTGAAATACATAAGTCTAGTTTCTAAGAGATCTATTGAGAGCCCTTGCTGGAAATTACAGTTGGGAGGATGTGATGGATAAAAAAAAACAGAAAGCAAGAAATTTGAGGGAGTGAAGAAATACTGAGAGCCTCAAGGATGGATGCCTGCAAACCTTGTGTTTGTAAATTCTGTATTTTCTAAACGGACAGCTTTCCCTGCTCTTCATCTTCCGCATGTTTGTGAAACATGGTCATGGTTTAGAGTTGTTTTTATTTCTGCGAATTGAATGCTGTGGAGTTGGAGACAGTCTGGCTTTTGTAACCTTTAGCAGACTGGATGGTGAGTTCTTCAAATTAATACTCAGTTTATGCTTGATATATGAACGAAAGAAAAAAGAAAGGCAAGGAGGCAGTTCACCAGTTTTCAGCTGATCCCTAGTTCAGGTGTAGCACTCAGCAGGACAGCCAGCAAGCAGCTACAGAGTTACTCTGTAGAAGAGAAGTATGGCAGTTTCCCAGTGGGTAGTATCTGAGCATGTCCTCTGTGTTATTTAATGTTTAATCGTTATTTTCTAGTCAGTTATACTGTGTTCTCTTCTGGATAATTTTCACCCGTAAAAAAAAAAAAACAAAAACAACGCACCACTATTTTTATCCTGTTTCTTGGATTGAAAAGCTAGTAAAGATGAAATTCCTTTGTTGAAGCAGACCTAAGAACTCTTTTTGTCAGAATTTTTCTTCATTCTCATAACTTTTCCAACAGAAAATAAATGGTGATTCAAATGGTAGTTAGATGTAGGTACTGCCTTCATATGACAGTGAAGGTCACATTATAAAAGGACTGATAAGTATATAGAAGTTTTGCTTCTGCAGTACTACTGGGAGGGGGTTGTGATGCTCAGCAGCATGGGAAACAGGAGTTTTCTTAACCAAATTGGAGGGGTGAACAAAATCACATGCACTGTTATTAATACATGAATCCAGAATTATTTTTTTGGAGGTGTTCTACTTCAGCAAGGCTAGTTTGCTTAAGCTACTTGATCCCAAACCTGAAGATACAACTGCATTTGAACTTTGGGGTCAAAACTATACCTGCAAACAGCCATGCAGAAATACTTTAAAACTTCCTTATTGAGAAGCAACATAGAAAAAGCTTGTACTGAATGACAATCTGTTGACCCAAAAGAAAAAGGTTGTTCCTTAAACCCTGGAACTAGTAAGGTTTGATTTCTTACTGTTTTGTTTTTTGGGGTTTTTTTTTTGTTACCATTCTGATCACTGTATGCCTGGTGTCTTCATGGTTTTCCAGGTTTTCTTTTTTCTTTTTTTTTTTTCCCCCTCCTCCAATGAATTCCCTATCCACCTTTCTCTTTGACAGGGCAAGTACCAGCATGTGTTGGGCTTCATTGTTGCTAGGAATGGAAGAAGCTTGAGTTGTCCTTCCATTTGTTGGTGCACTAAACTTTGTACTTTCAAGGCCACTTCTCAAAATTAAATTGAAATTCGCCAATAGGTTACTTAAGGGTCTTATTTGTAGCTCAGTCTCTAAAACCTCATTCCCATGTGAAATAAGTCATCTGTTTAAAAAGAAACACCAATAATCAAGCAATTGTAGCTATTTAAGTGCAAGAGCAATCGTGAGTTGCAATTAAATTTATACTTAGTCAAACAAGCTAAACTAAGCACAGTATCCAGACTACAGAGAAGATTCAAAGTAGGTGTAATTCATTCTCCAGCATTTTCATATAAGTTTTTAACATTACAGCCAATTTCCATTCCACCTGTTTTATCTCAAAGATCTGTACTGATAAGCACAGGAGGTAACTTTTACCAGAGAAATATCAACCTGTAATATAGAGAAGATAATGAAAAATGCACAAAACAAAATGACCAATTGCAGTGTCTTCTTTTTTTTTTTTTTTTTTTTGAGAAAATGTAACTAAAACTAATGGTTTGCTGCCACTTTTTCCTGATTGATATGCAAATCATACACAGCAGTATGTGGACATTTGAGTTTGCCTTTGAAACGTTACTAATATCTGATGATGGGAATGCCCCAGTGCCCTCAACTGCTTTTAATAGCAACACCTGATGAAATTCAGTACATGCACACAGTTCTAGCCTTTGGGACAGGCAGAGTTGTTCTCCTGCCTTGCCCAAATAATGTCATCTTTCAAATTATGTATGGATACTGTGCACTGTTGGCCTTCTGCCATGCATAAGTTCCTCTATCGTGTTTCCTGAGCATTGTTAATTTGCATGCCTGGGTGCAGCGTGGCAGACAGAAGCGGTAAATTATAATGCTTTGGGATCAGAACTAGCTGCAAATGACAAGCGACGGGTTAGTTCAGTGCTAATTAGTTTCCTTTGGAAAGTGCACTGGGGAAACTGGCTACCTAGTTACCTTCCCTCTGCCCACATTTTTATGTCTCTTCATAGGATGGCTGCCTCGCTGTTACTGCTCCTTCAAAGGGAATACTAGAAGTAGAAGGTAGGAGAGGGATAAAACTGAGTGAAAAGGAAAGTATGCAGGCGCACAAAGGAGAGGAGGGAAAGCAGTGGAAGACTTTGAAAGAGTGAAGACAACAGGCAGAATGGGACAGAAGTATGATGCCTAATATTGGTACTTGTTCCACCCCAGGAGAGGAAAGATTGACCTTCATGGAAAAGCAAAGAAAAAGTCTGGATTGTTGCGTTAGAGGCCAGCCAGCTCTGATGCTGGCCAGTTTGGCCATTTGAGGCTATAGAAGTCTGCATCGTGCTCCCTCACTCGCCCTCACCGCATTTACAAGTGCTTCTTGAAATGGTCTCTGTGTGATCCACGCTCCCTTCCTGATGTTTCAGAACTTTGTGGAGAGAGCAGTCGGTTTCTATCCCATTAAAAATAAATAAATAAAACTGAACTCCAATACCCAAACTACGCAAGAGTCCACGCTTAGCATATGTGCATGCATTCTTCCAGTACTGATGCTCTTGGCCGCTTCTTATCTTTCTTCTAGCCCAGGTCACTACTATCTTAATATACTGCAGGAAGGAGTTCTTTTTCAATCCTTGCACAAATAAGAGTTTTTGCATGGCAAATCCATTAATTCTGTATTTAGTTCTGGAGGACAAAAACATACAAGTGCTTGAAAATACTGTTATGTCCTTATTTGCTCTTACACTGAATTTCTGTTTAAAAGTGATTTTTATTTAACAGGTATTTTGAAAAACAATTTGACCTGTCGGAACACACGCGACTGCCAATGTTTCTCCACTGTAGAAACTCACACGCTGAATTTTTAGGTGGGTTTTGTTTGAGAATTTCATATTCTGAGCAAATTCTGAATATGAAAGATCTGAAAACCTGATTTTTCACCTTTTTCTGTTATAAAGCTGTCTTACATTTTTATCTATTTAATTTCATAGACATAATAAGAAGAAACCGAGATAGATTTGTAGGAGGGGTGGTAAGTATGGACTTCAGCCTAGCATTCATTTTTACATGCATGTGTGAGTATTGTTGCTTAATAATGCAACTTGTTTGTCATGGAATCTGGGTAGGCTTCCTGTTACATGATTTAAGTTATTATTAATTACTAAAATGTTTTCCAGTCCCTTCTAGTATTTTTATTTTTTGTTGCTTATTCAAAAGGTTTTTTGCAAGGTAAGAAGATAGGCTGAGAAAAAGCTCTGCAGCTGACATGAGCAGATTTTCTTGGCCTGTCAGAAGGACAGTTTAAGCACCTTATAATTGACATTGGCCTTTTCCCAATTCTTTAGTGTCTGTAACTGCAGTGCATTCAGACCGCAGATAATTTAGATGCATGTTCCCAGTGGAAGCTGTAACCTCAAACATTTGCTTCTGACGTTAGACATCATTTTCAAATTAGCCCCAGATGTGACTTTTGATTGCTTTATGTCTTTAGATATTCAGATCGTGTATTTTAATTCAAAAGCATAACAGGGAAAAACTTTGGATGAAACGATTAAGACAGACCAGCAATGCTCTTTCAGGTTTCCATTACGGCAGGGTTTTGCAAAAGTAATAAATGCTTGGATTATTCTATTTCACTAACATCAGACCACACCTCCTACAATAATATCTCAGGCCCCAGGTTTCCCCTTTGTTACTGCAAAAACCTTCCACTAGCTCAGTACTTTGTGTGTTGTGTTGTGTTCTTAGGTAATACTGTACAGTCTCTCCTTCCTTCCTTTCTCTTTTCTGGAAGATGGGTAGCTAGTGGAGAAATGACAAGCAGGCACCCTTGGCAACTGACTGCCCCCCTTGCAGCATAGGGAAGCAGTCGGCTTTGCTCCACTCAGGCTGAGACTTTGCGGTTCCCAGATACAGGACGCTGTTTGTACCTGTGACCTCCACTTGCCTCTTTAGTCCCTGGGATGACCAAATAGGCTCGCTCGCTCTAGTTGCTGTGACTAAAATCCGTGGAGCTCTTGCTGTGTCCCTGACAGTGCCTTGTAGAGAATACTGAGGAAAGAATGTAAAAATTCAGCATGCACAGGATTAGTTCCTGTGCATGGTCTCCCAGCCATCAGCTACAGGAAGTTCCTGGGCCAAAAGCAGTATTATTGGTTAGGTCTTTTCTAAACATCTTTATCACTAATAAAACGTGGTAACTGCTTCTATTGCAGTATTCAAGTGACTTCGGCTTGAACTTTGCCCAAATTCAGAATCAGCTGAACCATGTCTCCCATCTTTATGTTTGTATTGATGTGTAATGCATGCTATCAAAGGTATTTATGATGCTAATAAAAACTAATACATATTTTAAATGATTGGAGTTTTAAATGTATATATATTCATATATATGTGTGCATCTATATTTATATTTGTTCTAGGTACATTCGTTTGATGGCACAAAGGAGGAAGCCGCAGCTATAATAGATTTGGATCTTTATATTGGAATAAATGGCTGGTAAGTTCTTTACAAGAAACGCAACTATTGTTAAATGTCAGCTGTAGTGAACTCATTGCTTTCTTTTAAACAATGAGGTCAAGTTTTCAAAGCTCTTAATCATCTGACAGATTTGGAATTGCACTCATTAGTCTGTTAGCCATAAGAAGTTCTTAACTCACAACTCGGCGAGTTAATCTAGTCTTAGGTCCATTCTGCTACCCTCAGGTCAATCCCTGTTTGTAAATAAATAAGGTTGTTGAATGTGGAAGCAGTCCTTCTGAGAAGTGTTTAAAAAATAGAGTAATTTTAAGCTGACGTGTCAAATCCGGGAGTAACGCAAATGTAATCAGAGCAGCCTCATCTGCTGGTTACGCAGTCTGAATTCTCAGCAGTCACCTGGCCAAAAGCCAGCCAGCACCACTTTATAAGTTGCGTGGGTCGCCGCAGCCAGGCAAGCATGGGCAGTGCAGGCGGGGGTTCTGCACGCGTGCTAGGGTGAGAATGTTCACTGAGTAACTCCACATTTGCTGTTTTCTGCAAAGTTTGAGTTTACAGGCAGCGCTTTCAAAAATGAAGCAAATTTTATTCACTAACAAAATTATTTAGGAAGCTGCCTTTGCTGCAAAGCATCTCAACAGGCAAAGTAATTACTTTTATACACTCTTTATTATTTTTTTAACCAAACTCTGATTTTCTAGCTCATTGAAAACAGAAGCCAACTTGGAGACACTGAAATCAATTCCTAGTGAACGATTAATGATAGAGACTGGTAAGATTTTATATCTTGGTCAGTTTGTGACTTAAACACTATTAGACAAGGGAGATATGCTTGTATAGCAGTGATAAGGCAAGAGTTCAGAGTAGAAAAAGAACTGGCTGTTTTTCCACTTTGGAAAGCAGTTTACAGGCTCCAGAAATATTCCTTTTCAGCCTTCTGCTGGAAGGAATAAGCTGCCGTGTGAGTTCCTGACATTGCAGGGGAAAATGAGAAGGACAAATTGACAAGCCCGGATTTTTAAATGTACCTAGACACCAGAATCCTGTTTGAATATCTTTTAAAGTCTAGCTTGCTGGAGATGTGCCAAGCACAGGGCAATGGTTGTGAGTTTGGCACTCATAGCAGGTGCCAGCATTTGGAAACAACAGCTCTTGAGATGGAATAAGGTGGAAGAATGCTTGAATTCCCCTCTTGGCCTAATGAGCAGTTGATTTAATTGACTGACTAAGGATGCCTTTTTTTTTTTTTTGCATGTTCATTTCAATTATCATTAACTGGCAGTTAAAAAGACAATATTTGTTTTAATTTCTGAACCTAAGAAAGGAAAACCACAAACTGCCTAAATCCTTAAATTTGTCTGTACATGAAGTACAGACCTGGTGAAGTACACAGGACAAGATAGGACAAGGAAATGGTGTCAAGTTGTGCCAGGGGAGGTTTAGGTTAGACATTAGGAAAAACTTCTACGCTGAAAGGGTTATCAAAGACTGGAACAGGCTGCCCAGGGAAGTGGTTGAATTACCATCCTTAGATGTATTTAAAAGCCGGTCTAGATACGGTGCTCAGGGACATGGGTTAGTGGGCCCAGTACAGTTAGATAACAGTTGGACTTGATGATCTTAAAGGTCTTTTCCAGCCATAACGATTCTATGATGCTATGACAGAAAGTTTCTGTGGAATACATGCAGTGTGTCTAGCTATCGTTATGTCAGAGGAAATAAGTGTTTTGTACTACTATTGCTGATTTTTTAAAAACGTAAAATCTTGAAGGTAACAGTATAAAAATCCAAAGATCGTGAAGATGCTAAATTGCCCAAATCTTTTAAATTCCATTTTGAATTGGAAGTCACTGCTAGAGAGATTGCAATAACTTTTGTCTGTGGAAGTAGTTAATTAAACTATCTCATGCTATTCTCAAATGATAGCATACTCTGAATTCTTTTTTTTTTTTTTTCTCAAATGAAACTAGATGCGCCTTGGTGTGGAGTGAAAAATACTCATGCTGGAGCAAAATACATTAAAACTACATTTCCTACAAAAAAGAAATGGGAAATAGGGCACTGCCTGAAGGACAGAAATGAACCCTGCCATATAATGTAAGTATACTAGTACCACTGTAACATTATTTTCAATCTCATAAATCTCTCCCCCCCCCGCAAAAAAAAAAAAAAAAAAAAAAAACCCAAGAAAAAAATCAGTTCACTGGAAATGTAGTATATAGACATGTATTGTAAATTTATTAAACTTGTGCGAGGTATTGCTCTATAAACTGTGGAGAAATTAGAGAGTCTTTAAATTTCCCATGTCAGTAACTCAGGTTGTAAAAAGCTCCCTGAAAGTGAAACCAGTGCTGGTTTTATCTTTTCACTTGGTACATTGGAGATGGGGTTACACCCTGTAAAGTAACCTGACTTGAAAAATTTCACTCAGTTGTTCCAGATATTTTTAAAACTGATGCAGCACTGGAGCAGTGCAGTCCTCTGCAGGGGGGGCAGTACCGAGGGGCCAAGTAGTGCAGGTGCCTCTGTTCTTTTCGCAGCGCCTGTGACATGAACTGCAGTAACATGAATTTGGTTAAGGTCATGTCTTCATTCTGCTACTGTGCTTAAAAAAAATTGATCCCGTGAAGTTTAGATGTGAATAACAGCAGTCAGCGTACACAGTAGCGAAATAAAAGTCCAGGGACTTATGGACAGAGTTAGAAAGTATGGAATCTATTTTCTGCCACTTTTTCACACGCTTCCTTACAGAGGTGTGAAAAGCAGGGAAACGTATCATTGTTTTAGTGAAAATGTTTAGTTATCTCCATTAAATAGCACTGATAGATGAAATGCCTTAATTTTCACAACTCTTACTGAAGACTGGTTGGTGAGTTACGCCAGTCTTCTCAGTTGTCTTCTTGTTATCAACTCCCTGAAAAGAAACAGGAATTGAGGAAGGTTTCTTCTTGCAGCGTAGTATGGGAATGAATTTGCAGCAAATAAAGCTCACAGCTGTACCTACCCAGGTACAAAGCCCATTCATGGGATCAGAAGTGGCTTTTTTTTTTTTTTGCTGTGAAGTCTGTATGTATTACTGTGAAAACCTGTGTAAATTGCCCGTTTGGACCTAGCTTTTGAAATACCACTCAGGATAGCACTAAAGAACATAGGTATTCAGCAAGGTGTCTAAACAAGAGTTTATTTGAGAACTGAAAGGAATTCTGCTGCTTTCTTGGGAGACCTGAAGGAACTCTTAGAAGAGAGAAAAGACCACTGATCACGCTGAAAGCATAGTTTAAGCTTACGTGGTGACATCTCCTAGTGCTCAGATATATTTTATGCAGTTACTTCACTTTGTAATACTCTTCGAATTTGTGCTTTAAACTCGAAGCGCACACGTGAGCACGGAACAGCTCTTTCAGTATTTTAAGACTTTCCAGGGTCACTCCAGGATTTTGGAGTAGGGGAAGAGATCAGTGAAAACGGTTCTCTGATCACAAGTGGAGGGAATTCTACTGTTGCTGAATAAGGCTATTTCGGCATGCCTCTGTGTGTTAACATGTCTGCTGCCTTAGCTGGAGCTTACAGAAGTGTTTCAGAAACCCCAGAACTGGAAATGCAGACAGTCTATCCTAGAGTGATAGGCAAATGCCATGCTTTGGCATCTGCTTTCTTTTATAAAACAAAATTTTGTTCAGTTCAACCTTATTTTAAAATTACTATCCTGTTAAAACATTAAGTATAACGCATACTAACTGTAGATTAGTAATCCGAGAACCTCTTAAACCTTAGGGAAAAGGAAATATGGTAACTGAGAATTGATATTTTATGACTTCTTAATTAGCAAGATCTGGTGTGAGGGGAAAGTTAGCCCCAGGCCACAAAGTATATTTAACGTTTAGGGTATATATGCTGTTTAATATAGCTCAGTTGGCAGGAGGAATTTTCCACTTGTCATTTTCTGGTGGTGCTGGACACCTTTCAATTTTGATGGTGATATTTCTGCTTTATATTTTTGGAACTGCACCACTCCCCTTCAAAGCTAGGGTTTTTTAAATTTTAGCCACAAGAGGCTTTTTTTTTCCACCTTCAGTGATTTCAAATACAGAGTGTTACAGTAACACATAGATCTTACTGGACCCAAGTGGGGATAGATACGTAAGCCCTACCAAGAGTCTTCAAGGGTGAAATTCTTTGGTATTTGTTCTTTAATTTGGTGTAGGCCTGATCTCACCCCATCTCATCTTGAACATCCCCTTAAATCAAGAAGCTGTTTGGCTGCAAAGCACAGGAGTGGTCATGAAATTGGCTAATTCTGTGTCTGGGAAAATATTTGCATTCCAGTAATTGTTAGGAGCAACTCTTTTATTTGGTCTTCCTCAAAAAGAAGTTTAGCCATCATGTAAGTTAAGAGACAAGATCCAAAACCCCCAAACTCTCCCACCAAGCTTGAGGTTCTTACTTTCCACCATGAAGGTAGCAGAAAAAAAAAATAAGTATGGTGCATCTTAGGAACTGTCCAGACTATTCATTTTTTTTCAGAATGATTGAGAGAAAAATCAGGAAAATGACTAGAGAAAAAAGATCATGGCTTGGTTTTCTGTTACTTAGTGTTAATATTATTAATCCCATTTCTTTTGCCTCCTTTTTCTGGCTTGTATCAAGGCTATGGGCCTTTTAAAATTGTTCATTTAACATTTACTGCAAATGTCTGAATGTGTTAGTCACAATTAATCTAGAGAACAGGAAAGTAGGAATAAGTTACTTTGGCAGCTATATTCTCAGATGAGGCTTTATCTGGAATTTACACTTTGCCAGACACCAGTTTATTCATAGCGCAGCTTTAGCCTTGAAAGACTAATGAATTTCCAGTCTGAAAAATGAAGATCATTGATAAAGACACCCACAAAATGACATTTTCTTTGAAACAGAAAGGTGTTTAATTACCTCCAAACAAGAGTCAAAAGACCAAAGATGAATCTGTACCAGTGAGCAACCAGTGTCCAGTGTAAAGGGAATGGCAGTTAGTGACTTAAAAGTGAAGCTATTTGCATATCTGAGCACTTTGCCCTGTTGCTCTCAGCATAGATTTTTATTCCAGGTTAATCTTAGTGACTTGTACGTACACATGGAGCTGTCTGAAGTATATTCGGTACTGAGTTTCACAGTCCTCTAATATCAATCTTTCTTTTTTAGTCAAATACTGGAAATAATGGCAGCAGTAAGAGAAGATGACCCACTTGAGTTGGCCAATACTCTATATAACAACACTATTAAAGTCTTCTTTCCAAATATATAAAGTTGTTTTTCTTAAATTTATTCAGCATAACTTTACTAAATATATTGCAAAAACTTAAAAATTATCATATCTGCAAGTTCTTATCAATGGAAGCCAATATGTAGTTTGTTTTTCTTTTTTTTTATGGTACAAGATTAAAGCTGCTTTTGAAAAGGTGGTTTGCAGTTGTGCAGTTTCTCAGCCCTGTTTCCCTTTCATCAAGATTCAGGATCAATTTCAAGGATAGCCCAAGCTAGCAGCTCTTGTTAATACCTGTACGCATTACAGGATGAATACCAGGCTGCTGAGTTCACACGTACAGGACTTCAAGCTACTACTGGTAATTCAGAAGTGTTTAAGACATCAACAGCATGCTTTGCTACTTCACCAGAAAGCGCAGCAGTTTCATCTGTTGCTCCACATTAGCAAATGCTAGTATTAAGTCTACCAACCTAAATTTTTATTTATTTTATTTTTTAAAAACACAACTCACTAGTTTTTAAGCGATAAAGCTCTGCTAATACTGAATTTGTAAGTAAAGCTGCTTTGGTTCAGGCTTTTCATTTCTGATTTGACCCACTGAACAGTCTGTTTTCACCAGTATTTTTCATTTGCATCCAGACATCATTGATCAGGGATTACCGCTATACAGTCTTTGGCACAGCATTATCACTACATCAATTAAAGAGTGTTTTTCCAACCATCTTAAAAACATGTGAAAACATTTTATTCCATGTACAATAATGTACATAATTTTAAGGTGGTCATGAAAGAGACCAGCAAAATCAGAGGTATATTTACAGTAGCACACACCACAGTAAACAACCACCATTCACAGACTTAACATTGAGATACTGCTGTTGTGCTTAGGTACAATAACTACAAAGTGATACTTTTATTCTGTTGAAGTCAACCTTAAACAAATACCTCACGGCTTAGTAAAGGACATCTTAATCACCAAGAGAGTTAGAGTCAACATTAAGAGTCTCATTCAAGTGCTGTGCCACACAGTCACTGTCATCCTCCTCACTATCGGAACTGTCGTTATCTTCATTTAATTCATTTTCAGCATCAGCAGCTTCTTCTGCAACTTGTACAGGATTTTCATTTGGTGCCACAAACCCGTTGTTGTTGGAGATATTGGCATTTTCCTTGTCCTCAATATAGACCTTCTGATGGCACATCGGGCAAGTGTCCTGGATGTACAGCCACTTCCGAAGACAAAGTGCATGAAAGTAATGGTTGCATGGAGTAATGCGAGCAGAGGTGGTGAACTCATGGTAGCAGATTGCACACACGTCATCTATTTCATGTAGCCGACTTCCTTTTACCTCTGGAAGCGAGTTTATTTTCTTAACAGCAGTCCGACGATTTATAAAAGTCTTCCAGCCATTCTTTGCTTGCAAGTAGATGTTGAAGTACGCATGTAGACACATCATGCAAGCGCGAATCTTGCTTCCCGATTCAAAAACCATTGTGTAAGCTCCATTTCCAAACATGATTACTCCAAATATAAACTCAATAATATTGCCAGTTGAACGAACGTAATAGACATAATCATCAAGTTTTTCCCATAGCACATTATAGTAGCCATCAATCATAAACAATATATAAACAGTGATAGAAACTATTACTTTTAGGCAAAGCTCTACACAGAACGCTGTAACTGCAAAAAGCCACGTATTTAGTGCATAGTGGTGCCAGAGGATGTAACTGAGCAGAACTGGAAGGATGAAAAGGCAAGCGGAAACAAACAGTACAGGGAAGTGTCTGCGAAATGATGACACGTGGGAGGCACTGAGAGACATCAGCACAGGGTCTGTCATTCCATGGATAAAATGCAGGACTGCGGTCAACAAAAGGCACATGTTTCGACTCAGGCGAACTAATCGTTCTTCTGGTTTCAGTCCACTTAAACCAGTCTGCAGAGCCAAAATGAAAAACAAGACGGGTGCTACAAAACCAAGCCTTTTGTCATCCTCATCAGTTGATCCGATGAAGGCCAAGATGCCAAGTCCCAAATAATGCGCTATTGAGGAAATGACGGCACTCATGCCTAACACAGTTAAAGTAGAGTCACACCCACTTATGATCAGACTGCAGATCAGTTCCCAACAGTTATCCCATGATATCAAGAAGAATTTTTCTTCTGTATTCGTTTCAGCCATCTTTACAACATATGTTAATACCACAGCTTGCGCCGTCAGTCTCGTTAGCCAGAAGACACGCAGTACAGCTGGAAACCGAATCCTTTTCCATGTATCTTCCATCAATAGCTGTAATCCATAAATGCGATACATGTGCCTCACCAACAGATAAACATACCGCACCGAATAATAGAACCATTTAATTTTCGTAACTAAAATGGCTGTGGTATTTAGTGTCAGAACTAGGCCTGAAATAAAAACTAGTATCTGCCGGACATTTAAAGGTAATTCAATAACCAAGCCAATTACAGGAATCAGTATATCCAGGATGATGAGTTGAGAGTATATGGACTGCACGTTTAGCAACGTAACATATCCGATTCCAAAGGTAAGCTGAAGGATGGAAAGGGCCATCCATAGTGAAGGTCCTTTATGAGGGAAGATCTGAATTCCGAACGCGGCTGTGTAGTAGGCACTGTAGAAGTTTATGTGCAAAGAAGCATAGTAATTCACCAACACTGAAGTCGCAGCCAGCAGAAACGCCGAGGTGATCATATAAAACTTGAAAAGTGCCCGCTGTTGTAAGACCAGAACAACACTGGATACAAAGACACCTAAAAACAGATTGAAATCATTTAGTTCTCAGCTGAAATTCAACAGCAGATTTTAACCTATTAGCTTTGGGGCTACATGTATTTAATGTATCACTTCCCAATTAGTCACTTGTAACTACATTACGAATGATGCCCTTCTCAGAGAACAGAGGACGACTTAATCTCTGAGCGTAATACACCTGTGCACTGCAGCTGCCATGCAAAGCCAGGGCAAGCATTACGTCACAATTACTGTTAAGTTCATCTGCAGTTCCAGACTGGAGCAGTGACAACTCCCAGCCTTAGTCTTCAAATCTAAGGGTAGACAAGTTCTAAAAGCAGAACAGAATTACCAGATATAGCATCATCTTTATGGGCAAAGTTAATAAGGAACAAATACTAAGTCCCTTAATTCACTTGAACAAAGCACTCAGCTACAATCTCCAGGCTGGAGTACTAAAGATCTAAGACTAAAGTTGCCAAAACAGTTTAGCTAAACCCTTTAACAGGAGAATGGTGAAAAACTGCTATAGTTTACTGGGGAGAGGGCACTGGTCTTCCAATTCCCTTCAGTTTGCGTTCATTTCTGATAAGGCATCCCGAAACAAGAGTCTCATGGGGAAGACCGTACACAGTATAAAGCTTTTGTTCACAAAATACAAAACCAGACCAACTGCCTTCTTGCCAACGCCAGTGTGAACCTGCATCTTATTAGAAGTCAGATTTAAGATCTTGAAATTCCTGTTTGCTAACTCTTCCCCCACACTGACCATGAACACATCTTGACCATGACTAGAAAGTCTGCACCTTCCTATGAGAAATCCTATCATAGCATCTATAGTACCTATGACCTTGCAGTAAACTCCTTCGGTAGCGTAGCTTATGAATTTCACCATTATGTACTACATAAGTAAGGGCTCTGCCCTAACCAATTTTAAACTAAACGGCACTTATAACTAGATTCACCTCCTTAAACATTTTTTTTTTCTTCAGGAAACACACTGCCTTTGTTTTGGTCTTCTCAATCAGCTTCTAGTCTACGCAACTGCTTTCTCATCCAAACCAGTTTGGAGAGATTGCCATCTCTACAACTTACATTTGATTGTAAGTTGCTTTCAATCTCTGTACTAAAACTAATGAAATCACAAGTAATCCTCTTTCAACTGGAGGATAGCATCCGTCTTTTCCGATGATTGTATTTTAGATTGTTCCAAATCCCCCATAATAGTGTTTAAAAAAAAAAAAAAATTAAGCCATGGTATCTTGATCATGGGAATAAAAAAAAAAACTTTGCTAAGAACTAACATTTGATTCTACCAGGAGTATTGCCAGCTGCTTGTATTAAAAAAAAAAAACAACCCCACAAACAACCCAAACCAAAACCACACAAGAAACCCCCACCCTGGAGGACTGAGTAAGAAGGGAGAGGGTCAAAATGAATGAACAGCAAAAGGCAGACTGCAAACAGTTATTAATCCACCTATACAGTGTTCCTTGCCAGCAGCATTGGCTGATATAAAAACATTCTCCTTAACTAATCATTAACCTGGTAACCTTGTGAAGTGGACTGAGGAAAAGCCTCCATCAGTTTTCAGAAAGTGCCTTGTACCATAGCTCAGTTCTTCCATGACAAGATGAATATTCATTACGTACAGCACTTTTTTTTTTTTTCTTTTAAACACGCCTGAACATTTCATTGCCTTTTCATGCATACCACCATGAACACCTATGGGAAAGCTAACACTGCTGACAAGTTTGTACCCTTTGTCTCTTCTCACAAGTCACAGAAAAGGCTCAAATGCCTGTAACCAGCTCATTATTTACATAATTCTGATCATTTGAGCCAAATGAGATGCATTTTGCACTAAGCAGGCTGCTCTGAAACATGCCTATTAACAAAACCTGTTTTTTTTCCTTGCAGTTGCAGTAACAGGCCTGTATTTAGATACTGTAGGTCATCCTAAACCACTGACATTTCACATGGAAGACACATCCCTAAAAACAGTACTACAGTGAGTCAATAGACAAGCCAGACCTACTGGTTCCTCTAAAGAGGGACTAACAAAAGGTAAAGCATTTCTCTGTCAGCACTTGTGTGGAAAAGTCAAGACCCCCCCGAAAGGAACCTCCAAAGACTACAGGAGGTAACTCAGTCTGGGAAGCGGAGGTGAGCGGTGAGCACTCCTCTCCCCCCAGCTCCATTTATGCCCTTCAGCCCATCTTGCCACAAGGAGACTTTCCCCTGTCCTGCAAAGCGCTCACCAAACAGTAAATCTTTTCCCATTTTCCTTCTGATAGGAAATGTTGCAGTTCCTCCTTTGACATGTTTATACTGCTGCTCATCTTTACTGTTCCTATCTCTGCTGCCCCATCACCAACTGTCTCCAGTATGGCCCCCAAACACAACATTTAATGGAACCACACACATTTACTTTTAA